CTTGCTTTGCATTTCTGTGGTTGCCTATTTCGATCGGGCTCTCCCTGGGACTCTGTGTATGTGTGTTGGAAGGGCGGGTTGCATTTCCATTCTCCCTGGATTCCGGTAATGCGCCGTGCTCTTTCCACCAATAAAATGAAGGGGGAGTCAGCCGCGTGGATGATGTTGGCCTGGGGAGCAGGTGGGCAAGGTCGGCGACGGGGATTCAAGGGTTGCGCCTTGCGTGCGGGGAGCCCCGTCTCCCGCGGAGGGACGCTCCTCCCCAATTGGCGTTCCTCTCCCCAGCAGCACCTCTGGGGGTGACGACCAAGGTGGCGAAAGGACCCCGCTCTCTCTCCCTGGCCTGGGCTTTTGCAGTTCCTAGCTGCAGCCGAGAAGGGATGGAGCTGCGAAAGAGGTAGCGCCCGGCTTGCCCCCCCTCCCCCCAGTTCAACCCTTCCCTCGGCCGGGGATGGGGTTACGTGGCTTGGGAAGAGCGGCCCGGCCATCCTAAGCAGAATTTTGCGGTCTTCCAAGCAGAAGAAAAGAGCAAGAGACAGATTAACCGAGGCTACCCATCTTGATCAGTCTCCTAAGGCAACTGACTTCCATAGGTTTAGAAAGGTGTAACTCCGTGTGGTGGCAGCACTATTAGTTGTAGCTTCCCGGTGGCAATCTTAGGGTAGTACAGCCTCTCTGGTGCCCTGGTTAGATTACTGGATGTGGCACCTGCCATGAAGGGCACTGGGAACATAAGAGACGCCAATGTTGGATCAGGCCAAAGGCCCATCTAGTCCAACACTCTGTCACACAGTGGCCAAAAACACCAGGTGCCATCAGGAGGTCCACCAGTGGGGGAAACATCACAGGATTGTTGTGTGGCTACAATGGAAGAGGGGACAACCACATATGCTGCTGCATTGTGCTCCTGGAAGCAGGGCAGGGAGAAAAGGAGAGGAATCAGTAATGCTGTCCAGTGCTTGAACCAAAGTGCCTGGCTGGTATGATAATGGTACTGTCTAATAGTGTACTATGTGGCATGCCCATCAGAAAAATAGCAAAGACCATGCTGAGGGAGTGGAGAAGGAAAAGAGCAGGGGGGGGGGGGTGGCCTGTCCAAGCCCTAGAGAACTTGTAGAACCCTGGAAGGGAGATTTCTTTTATTCCCCTCTGCTCCTACCTGGTTCTTTGATGTCCCCCAGTTTATCATCTTCTGATGTAGTTTTGTTTGGTCTGTCTATCATGGGACAAAGTTATCCTGATATATTCTTCTTAATGGAGTGGTATTGTAGATTCTGATGAATCTTTTTTTCCCCCCCAGCAAGGATCCTTTGCAAGTGGAGGTGTCTTGGAAATGACCCCCCAGGACCCCACTGGTGCTGTTTTGGGCTCCTGGGGGCTCCTCTTCCTACTTCTTGCCCCTCTACCCTGCGATTTGTGCCCATTCCGCTGTGAGTGCTCAGAACCAACTCGTACCGTGAAGTGTGTTCAGAAGGAGCTGACCGTCGTCCCAGCTGGTATTCCACGATATACCCGCAACCTCTTTATAATCAAGAACCAGATCACGCGCATTGGTAGCCAGGACTTCCAAGGGCTGCCCAGTCTGGTTACCCTCTCACTGGCAAACAACAGGTAACGCTTTCTGAAAACAAGGGGACTGGGGGTGGGTGGGTGTATATTTACAAATTATTTCCATCTCAAAGAGGCAGCTGGGAAATGCAAAGGGATTAACTGAAACAAAATGTCGATTGCATCCTATTAAAAATTCCCTCCCTACAAACCCATAGCCAGAAATGTTACAGTGAAGGCCGTCTGCTTTTGAGAGTTCCAACTAGTGTAGTGGTTACAGTGCTGGATCTGGGAGACCCAGATTCTGACCCCCACTTTGCTATGGAAGCTTCCTGGAACATGTGACATTCATCTATTCAAGTGCTGCACAATCTTGTGCTCTCTTGCCTTTCATGTGGAAGCGCAGGCATTGCCATGGTAATAAGCTTGCCTGTGCTGACAACAAAGGCTCTGGACTCTCAAATTCCTGCCTGTGGGACAAGGTCTACTGCACATCCCTACCTGGATTTCCATTGTAGAGTTTACTCCCTCCCATGCTTACGAAGCACTGACATGGGAGGGAACTGCAAAAAAAAATTATCCACTTGCTTTTAATTATTGTATAATATGCTGGATATGGTTTTATGTTTTTGTTTTTAGAATTTGTACTTCGCCTAGAGCCCCACAATCATGGGGATTAGGTGATTAATAAATTTAATGAGCTAAATAAATCAATCAGTCCCTTTTCTGAGACCTTCTGGCTAGAGGCGTTGACCTCCAGTGATCTTTTGACTTCCCACTGCATTGCCTGGGGCAGCTGCAGCAGGACCAGTGTAGGTTCAGATCTGTTTGGATGACTTCCGGTGGTGCATGCAGAAGTGTCTTTGGGAAAAGATGACTGCTTTCCTGATGCATGGCCTGCGTTTTTCCTGTGTTGTGTCAATACTTATGCTTTGAGAGAGATTACTCCGAAGTGGCTCACAGTAATCACGAAATGGAAGCCTTGCTGACATGCCTGTAAATTCAAAAAGGCAAGGCAGGGCACAGAAGAGAAAATTAGTTTTCTCCTTGTTGTGTGTGTATGTGGGGGGAAGTGGCTGATGACATCATTCTTCCCTCCTCCATTTATCCTCACAACCAGCACCCTTTGAGATGGGCCAGGCTGAGGGAGACAGAGTGACTGGCCCAAGGTCAACTGGTGAGTTTCCACGTCAGAATGAGGATTCAAACCTGGGTCTCCCAGATCCTAGTTGGGACACTCTACCCCTTACCCTGTGCTAGGAATGAGGAGGAAATTAAAATTTGCATCCAGTTACGATCATGTTGACTTGTATGTAAACTTTCTCATACCTCCGCTACCTTTGGGAAGATTTTTTTAGCTCCTGACTTGCTGATATTCCAGAGAAGCAGCAAAGCCAAGCAACAGCTTTTTAAAGTACTGTAAGAGGTTTCTGGGAAGTTGGCAAGGTCCATGGATGCTAGGACCAAGGCAGTTTAGGTGTGGATCTATCTTCCGTGAGTCTGCCTAATCCCTTTGGGCAGTGAGTTCCATAAGGTAATTCTGTGTTGTGTGACGTGCATCCTTTCATCTGTTCTGAATCTACTGCCTGTCAGCTTCTTGGGTGTCCTCAAGTTCACATGGGAAAGAGAGAAAGTTCTCTCCACCTGCATTCTCCCCACCAAGCATAATTCTGTAATCCTCTATTGCACACACACACCCCACAGTTACCAGAACAATACGCAGGGGTCCTTTCGTAGAAAAAGAGCTAGGGGAACTCATTAGCATAACTCATTAGCATATGCCACACCCCCTGACATCACCGGAAGTGTGTCATAAGGCCACACCCCCTGACATCACCGGAAGTGTGTCATAAGGCCACACACCCCGCCCCCAACGGTCCCAGCCGCCTCTGCCGACCCATGAGGGGCCCGGCGGTGGACCTGCAAGGCCGGCGGGAGTGCAAGGAAGCCCCGCGAAGGCCCTTCCTGGCCCAGGCAGGCAGAGGTGGGGAGAGGCACGGAGGAAGCAACTTACCCTCCTTCTTCTTCTGCCTCCTCCTGGATGAATGAGGGCCGGAAGCGGGGGGCGGGGCTTCGTCATGTGCCCCACCCCCCGTACCTCACCCGGGGGAACTGCGATCCCCCGCGATCCCCCCCGAAATGACCTCTGACAATACGTAGTATTATAAATGTGGCTACATGAAAGATGTCTAAAAAGTCTGCAACGAGGGAAGCAGAGCTCAGAGTTGTAGCTCTGTGTTCCTTGAGTGCTGCTGTGGATTGTTCTCCAATACCCAAAGGGACTTCCACAGGATTAATTTTTGCATGGGGAGTATTCTAAATTACTGAAGACTAGTCTGTTTTCTTTTTCCAGGATCAGCACGGTGGAGTCCCAGGCATTCTCCAACCTACAGAGCCTACATTATCTGGATTTGAGTAACAACCCCCTGTTTACCATTCACCCTGAAGCTTTCAGTGCCATGACTAACTCTATCCAGGAGCTAAATCTTAGCCATTCACTGTACAACTCGTCTGCTATCCACTCCTTGGAGACAGCCCTTGCCCGAGGAGGCTTCCGGAATCTCTCCAGGCTAGAGTTGACCAGCAATGAGATTGTATACTTGCCACCAGGCATTTTCTCTGGCCTTCACAAGCTCAAGCACCTGGACCTGCGGAACAACTCTCTGGTGGACATTAAGAATTCCACTTTTTCTGGCCTTAACCTCAAGTTCCTTGATCTGACCTTGAATGCCTTCAGGACTCTGGGAAGAGAAGCTCTGTCTGTGTTTGGGAGGCAGCCACACCTCCGTATCTTCCTCAAGGACAATCCTTTTGTGTGCAATTGTGACATTGAGGATCTGGTGAGCTGGCTGAACCAAAGCTGGCAGGTGGCTGATGTGGACAAACTGGCTTGTGTCTTCCCTCAGGAACTGCAGAACACCTCCTTGGTGGACCAAGCAGGGTCAGAGTTGGAGTGCCACTCCAGCCAAGCTGAAGAAAATGCTTTTCAGACTTCATATGCCGCCTTGGGTGTGGCCCTTGGAGTAATTGGTGTCATTTTCCTCTTTGTGCTTTATCTAAACCGTAAAGGTATCAAGATGTGGGTGAACAGCATGTGGGATACTTGCCAGAACTTTCTGGAAGAGTATCATTATCGTTATGAGATGGATTCTGATCGCCGTATTGCACAAGTGTTGGCGTTGGACATATAACACTTCTCTTGGTGACTGTTTTGCTTTTGGAGGGGGGGGGTCTTGTTCCTGTCAGGGAATCTGACAAAGTCCATCTGTCCTTACAACAAAGACTGCCTTTTTCACAGCAAAATGTCTGCAGATAAGGTTCTTGATACAGAGTTGAGGAACCTCAGATGAATGTATGAAGCCAGTTTACTCATAGTTAGACCAACATCTAGCTCAATGTTGTTTACTGTGACTGGCATTAACTTTCCAGAATCTGGTTAGGAAAGACTTTTCTTTGCCCATCTGGTCCTGAGATGCTTTAACTGGAGATGCCGAGGACTGAACCTGGGACCTTCTGCACACAGAGCAGAAGCTTTACCCCTGAGCCACAGCCCTTTTCCAGTCTCAATGTATAGTCCTCATACATAAGTGTTCTGCAGACTTCAGCCTTTTAGATTCCCCCTGTGCATGGGGGTGAAATAATCTGTCACAATTCTCAAGTGCCATCACCAATTTTTTAGGCTCGTTGGAGACCAGGTGTCAGGGATTTTTCCCACCTGACCTTCAAGGTCAGGGAGAGGGTTTTCCCCTCCTTGTTTCTGTGGACCAATGATCTATCTTGCTGGTTCTTGGAAAACTCTGGAGCTTATGCCGTATTGGTGATAGTCATGGAAGTCTGTCATAGCCAAAGCAACCAGAACAGACATCAGTGTGGTATAGTGGTTAGAGTGTTGAACTAGGACAGTGATGGCGAACCTTTTAGAGACCGAGTGCCCAAACTGCGACCCAAAACCCACTTATTTATTGCAAAGTGCCAACACGGCAATTTAACCTGAATACTGAGGTTTTACTTTAGAAAAAAAAACAACTCATACATTAACTTAAGATGATCCGAACAAAGTAAGGAAAGCAATCCCAAATGCTTTCATTTACTTAAAATTATTTGGCAGAAAATTTGACACTTTAATGATGGTCTGGGCCTGGCTGGGGCGATGGCATGCGTGCCCACAGAGAGGGCTCTGAGTGCCACCTCTGGCACCCGTGCCATAGGTTCGCCACCGCTGAACTAGGATCTAAGAGACCTAGGATTGAATCCTCACGTGGAAGATCGCTTGGGTGGTCTTGGGCCACTTGCACACTCTCAGCCTAATCTATCTCATGGAGTTTTTCTGATGATAAAATGGAGAAGAGGAGAGTAGAACATTGAAAGCTGTTTGCATTCCCATTGGGGAGAAAGGCTGGGTATAAGTAAAGTAAATGTAAAAATAAAATAAACATAACAGCAACCATGCTGGATTAGACCAGTGGTACTTCTAGTCCAACATCCTGTTTTATACATTTGCTAATGAGATGCTCCAGGAAAGTGGTCTCAGAGGCCAAGGAATTCCCTATTGTTGCCCCCCACCTTCGCCCAGGAAGGCCAGAAAGGGTAGCACTAATTGTAAAGGCTCTGTTTAAAGAGCCAGTTTTTGTCTCACTTCCTCATGCTTGACCTAGTCTGCAGGCCTTTCTTTCCAGGTTCGTTTAGACCTCCTTCAGAATCAGACCTGATCTAGCTATTCAGGATCTCTTTGTTCTATGAATGTGTCACTTCAGAATTGGAGAGTGGGAACCCCTTCTTGAAATGCTGCACCATGCCAAACCTCCCTGAACACAGAGAACAAGCATGTTGGGCAGACGTTTATATATTTTTTTTCTTGCTGGGGTGCATCCTGTGCTGCTTTTCATTTCTCTGTTTCACCCCTTCTCTTATGCTCCAGGGCTTTAAGAAAAAACATCAGGCATTGAGCAAGCATGTTCATATCAAACTTTTTATCATCATAAAAGCCAGTCTGTTTTATTTGCCTTAACCACAGCTGTGGACAGGGGAGGAGAGGAGTGGCTTCGTGACTGTCACGGTGGCCAGCCAATCAGTATTCTGAACACATGGCTTCAGAAACTGGCTGTTCCTGAGCTCAGTTCTCTGAGGAAGATTTGGGCAGAAGAGGATGCATAATTAGTGGATAAATATGCACATTAGGGTTACCAGTTTTGTGGACTGCAGCAATCTTGTAGAAATCAATGATCAGCCCTATGGCCTAGACCAGGCCATAGTCATCTTCAGCTTGGGGACTGGATCTTCCATCCTTTAGATATGGGAGGAGGGGGGCACTAGGGGAGCTCCAAGGCCCCAAAAAGTTGGTATCTGAGGTGCCCTGTTATTTGTCACTGAGAGGTGATGATCTGGACATTTGGCGAGTACCACTTCTTGAGCAAAATTTCCTTATGAATAGTGCCTGCCAGGGCAAGCTTCCAGTCTGGGATGGAGGCCCCAAAATATTTGGGACAGGGTGGGGCTCTCAAATTATGAGAGAGCCAGCCATGTAATTTTATTTGCAGACCTTACTGGTAGAACAGTCTCTTAAATTAACGACTTAGAGCAGCATTGGTGCTCTAACATGAAATACTAATCCAGCCCGGTTCCAGCCTGCTGTAAATAATTGTTGGGGTTCCATTAATCCCAGGCTTTATTGATGGAAGGCTGGCACAAAGACAGCTTTCTCAAAAGAGAGAAGGGGTGTGGGAAACATTTGCAGTACTGTAACCCAGATCATCGCCTGTTGGGTTTCGGCAGTTTGTCTTGAAGAGAGCCTGTGAAATTTTGTAGATCAAAGGCTGCCATATGGACAGTCAAGACTGCCTTCTCATACCAAAAGGATTTGGGCATAAATATCTCTGTGTATAAATGTATGTAGTTAAGATGTGCAAAAGATATTTAGGAAGTTAAAATAGGAATTTTAAAACCTTTTTCCAAAATGCTCAGCTGAATACTATTGAGCAAATCAATTAAGGGACTGAAGCCAAAAGCTTCCTTGGAGAAATGTTATGGTGTCCATCGATCAAGATTACATGTTTGTGGAAAGACAGATCTTTCACTTCCTCAGTCTGTTAACTATAGAGACCATTTTTTTCATTCCCATCTGTATTATGGATCACCAAGATCTTGAAAGCTATTTTTAAATTCTGAAAAAAAAACATACCTGTCTTACTAGGTGGGAATATCTCCATTACATATAGCAAACTCCTGTTGCATACAATAAACGACTGCTGCAAGGATTGGTGTTCCTACCATCTTGCAGTGATAGCTTTATCAAGGGAACTGATAAATCTGTAGAAACAATGAAGATATGAACATTACACATATATCTCACATCATAAATATGCAACAATGGAAATAAGACTCACAGATTAATTCAGTTTGCCCTAAAAGACATAATAAAGCTCTTTACAAGCCACTTTGCAGACTCCTAAATTAAAATTTAGAATATATTTGTATATATGTCTTACTAGGGTAGAACTCCCTTCCTCACAATTTAAAAAAAACTGGCTTTAGATAATTCTTCAACATAGCTACATTCTGCATTAAACTCAGACTGATCTAGCTGCTGGCTTGTCTTGTAGTTGATGTATGATGTTAGCAGATTTGCATGCAATATGAATATATTGATGTGTTATTTTTCTTGAGACAGATTATCAGAATGGCTGGGGAACACCAGTCCTCACAGCAGACTGTGTGTGTGTGTTTCTTTGGAGGGTTTTTATAGCTGGTTTTGATTCCATTTCCTTTGAAGATGCTGGACTCTGATGAATTGACTAGTTTATATGTGCTCAATCCCTTTGAATGAGGTGAGATTGGGATAATGGAGGAGCAGGGACTGTTAGGCCATGTGACCCAAGTGGCTGTGCAGGGCACCACCATAGGGTAAGGATACCACTAGACTGCTTCCTTCCAGTTGGTGGAGCTGCAAGAAGAAGCGACAGATCTGGCTTGCTATTACTGCCTGGTCCAATGCAAGCCTTTGACATGCTGCTCATTTGGGGCAGCAAAATACCGTGAGCCAGCCCTGTGGAAGAGCTTGCCGTCTCCTAGAGCCATTCTTCTACATTGTCCTGCGTGTTCACCTACCTCAGGGTGTCCGTTGTGAGGATAGGAAGGGAAGGAGATTGTAAGCCACTCTCAGACGCCGAGTGATGTGTGGGGTATAAACCCAATCTTCTTCCCACTGAACTTCACTGCCTTTTAAAATGTGTGGCACGTATAGCGTTACCAGCTTTTAGGTAGGGCCTGGAGTTCTGGGATTACTATTAGTCTCTAGGCTGCATAGGTCATTCTCCCTGGAGAGAATGGCAGCTTCAGAGTTGAGACTCTATGCTATACCACAGAGCGGTAGAAATGGAAGTCCTACGGTGACATCACATCTCTCCATAGCTCCTTCCTTCCTACCCCAAATTTTACTCTTCCCAGGCACCACGCCCAAATCTTTAGGAGTTTCCCAAGATGGAGCTGGGAACCCTGAGCACATGTGTTGAGATTGTGTCAATGGAAGTGAGCAAATAGGTTTTGGTTTGGATGCAGGCTGATCTAAGCTGAATGCTGGTGCTTAACCATTTGAAACCATTGAATCTCCATCCCTCCTCACTTCTCCTTCCTCCCTCCTCTCTTTCCCCCTCTCTCTGTACTTCTACAGTGGGTAATCAACTGTATATATATCTTAGTACATGCAGGGTATGAGTTGGCAAGCTGTACACTGCAAAGAAGGGTTTAGTATTGCTCAATTTTAGCAAAGAATGCAGACAGGGTCATTGCCAACCTGCTGCATTTTGGTGTGTTACCCGCAAGTTCCATAATTATTTATTTATTTATTTTAATTTATTTTCATACTTATACCCCGCCCTCCCCCGTGGGCTCAGGGCGGCTTACAGAGGCAAGAACAACTTGCCATGGTAAAACAATAATATACATAACAATTTAAAACATGTGCTACATATTAAAATCTTAATTAAACAAAGTGCTCAGTGCTATTCATAATCTAAGGATGGCGGGTCGTATGTCCAAAGTCCCAAGAAGACGGCAGAAGGATTCTTCCATACTGGATGTTTAATCGGGACCTCAGGGCGATGGTAGTATAGTAGGGGCAGCGGCTCCTACTCGAAAGCCTGGCGGAAGAGCTCCGTCTTGCAGGCCCTGCGGAACTGCATAAGATCCCGCAGGG